AATCTTTTTTTTTTTTTTTTTTTAAATAGTTCACTCAAAAATTAAAATTTGTTCCAAACGTGTATGTACTTCTTGTCAAAAATAAGAATTTTTTTAAAGAATCTTTATGCTGCTTTTTCCCTACCAGTAAAGTACATAGCGACTTTTAAGGCTTTTTTTTTTTTTTTTTTTAGCAAGTTAGTTAGTTGTTATTCTTGGCTGGATAACTCTAGCAGATTTTAAAAGCCCTTTAAAAATGTGTAAGTTACACAGTTTGGATTAAATGAAAGTACAGTCACATTTTATCTCCTGTATTGACTTTACAATAAGATACCATTCATTAACATGACTTCATGTTATTATCTAACATCAACTTACAGTGAGTGAACAATATATTTTTTACAACATTAATTCATGTTTGTGAATGTTATTTAATACAAACACTTGATCATTCATCAAGTGCATTAAATAATTTTAACAGATTGAACTTTAGATTTTATGTATTAGTAAATTTTGAAATTAACCATAAGAAGAATAATTGCTATATATTATAACTATTGTTTATTGAAAGGTCATGTTATCTAACAAATGGAATCTTATAGTAAAGTGTTTTTAGTACTACAGTTTCCATCTATTTGAAATACACTTGACTTAAAATATACGTAATCTTATCTAAATTTATTATAAAAGATGAGGTTTGTTATTTACTGAAAAGTTATATTTTAGTCTAGGGTCAGGAACAAGGAGATTTACAAATGCAAGCCAGAAAAAAAAAAAAAGTACAAAGAGGGGAGCAAATAAAGCTTCGGGAGGGGACCAGGCCAAAACAACACACATACAGTGGGTACGGAAAGTATTCAGACCCCCTTAAATTTTTCACTCTTTGTTATATTGCAGCCATTTGCTAAAATCATTTAAGTTAATTTTTTTTTTCAGTTTTTCTTTTTTAATAAATCTGCAAAAATGTCAACAATTCTGTGTTTTTCTGTCAATATGGGGTGCTGTGTGTACATTAATGAGGGAAAAAAATTAACTTAAATGATTTTAGCAAATGGCTGCAATATAACAAAGAGTGAAAAATTTAAGGGGGTCTGAATACTTTCCGTACCCACTGTAAAAGTTCTAACTTGGGGAGACTCACAAAACAAAGTTAAAAATAAACAACAGAAGTCTTACCTTACTCCCTTTCTAACCAAAAACAGGAGAAAACATGTTCAGTTGTGTTTTCATTTACAAATTAAACTACGCAAATTATTCACTCCTCAATGAAACACTATAGTATTTATAATTATACTCTATTAATCAGCCGAAATAAAATTAAATAGGCCTATGTTAAACTCAACCTTTAAACTGCACTTCAGCAAAAAAAAATCCAGTCATATAGCTTTATTGGCATGTCGAGCAAAACTATTCAGAACATTAAATAAAGTGATCAAAATGAAGGGGGGGAAATCAAATACATAACAAATATAAAAATATAATCAATTACAGGCTAATAATAATAATAATAAACAGAATTCTACAGAAAAAGACGATCAGTTAATAGACTTGCAAGACTGTAGGATGGATAAAAATGTTTTCTTGTTGGCCTATTTTATTTTATGTAATCTGTGTAACATTCATTCAAGATAAACTTCATTCAAATGCTTTCGGTAGCCTAGGCATATGGTCAATATAATAATTTAATATTGTAATAAGTTCTATAATTAATGTAATTTCTTAATTCAAAAGAAAATATTAATAAATCAATCTCTGATAATCCTGGGTTGCTATAGTCATGCAAGTTTGTTTACGCATTCAACTTCACATCTCATGGCCACGACAAAACTAAGTGAACCGAACATGTCCCCTCCTGTTCACCGTAAAATGCTAGTGTGTAGAATTGTTTCTCTTATTGCCATGTCAGTAAGCTTTTACAATGAATACAGTGAAAAATACACTATTCTCAAGAGTTGCGCTGACATGTAATAAAGCTGTATCAGACGAGATAATAGGAAAAAGTAAGTCTAGTGTTTACTACATGAACTACATGAAATTTTGAAATTTAAATGCTGAAAAAAGTGAAAAAAATTTATAATTTTTCACTATCTCAGCATGTATCCCCCGTAATCCCCCCATATACAGGTTGTCTGTTAATGACGGTGAAGTCATCGACGGCGTGTTTTACGAAGTTACAAAAAATAATCGTGAGCAAAAACAAAGCCTTTAAGGTGGAAAAGATTTTAGGGGAGAAAAAACAGGGACGATCTACGTTCGTTTTAGTAAGATGGCTAGGATGGCCGAAATTTAATAGCTATATAGACAAAAAAAGCTTTGCTGGACCTGCAAAAACCTTAAAACTTGTAAACCCGTACCGTAAGAGATCATTTGAGTACAGGACTGTCATGGACGACCGTGGTTTCTACGTTACTTTGTCAGGTTATCCTGAAAATCGCAAGCTTTGCTGGACCTGCAAAAACCTTAAAACTTGTAAACCCGTACCGTAAGAGATCATTTGAGTAAAGGACTGTCATGGACAACCGTGGTTTCTACGTTACTTTGTCAGGTTATCCTGAAAATCGCATATCAAGTTATACGACCAGGTTGGCAAAAACTATAAACCTGAAAGGAGAGTGGCAAGTAGGTCTTGCTGAAATTGAATATCCTAGAAGCTTGTACACCGTTAAAGTGCCCCTATTATGCCATTTCCAATATTGACTTTCATGCAGTGTGTAATGTAGCTGTATGTGAATGTAAACGATCTGCAAAGCTGTAAAGCTGAAAGTGCACGATAAATAAAGCTATTGTCTCCCAAAATAAAGAATCGACTCTGTACAGCTGAAACGAGTCGTTAGTAATTCGAATCCCACTTCCGTGACGGCTACACGTCACGGGGTAACACATTTGCATAATGCGCGCCTGTGTTCTACGTTGGCCGGCTGCAAACAATTTGACCCCGCCCACAAACACGTCATTCTACTGACGACAGCTTCTCTAATCTCGGGGAGTTCAACGCGGGATTCACAAAACGCTTGCTGTTGAAAGATGGATCAGTATCCTGTTTATTTGGACCAGCTGCTCCACTGAATCACAACCTGTAAGTA